TTCATCTGTCTCTCGGATGCCAAGGCTCTCGATGCTGAAGAGATGCTCAAGCTGGAGATCCACGTCACTGTCACTTGATACGTGGGCCAGTGGGTGGAAGTATGAAGTTTTAGGATGTAGTGTTGCCTGCACCAACAGATGTGTTGATGTCTCACCTTCCTGTTTCCCACGTGTAGATCTATCTGGAACAGGGAAATCGGCTGTTGAGTTTTTGAGACGTTGTCTCGAGTTTGTTGTTTTGTTTGTTTGCGTTTGAGTTTGTTGTTCGACTGCCCCCTGACGGAGGACTTGTGGTTGTTGTTCGACGGTAGAGTGTGTGTCGGTTTGAGTTTGTGCCTCAGCTGTGTCCGAACTGAGTGTTTGTGTGTGTTGTTCGTTTGTAGCATCTGCTTGAGTTTCTTTGTCTGTCAACTTCGGTTCCATGTTGACTGGCCGCTTAATGTCCGTGCCTTGTAGCATGCAGGAATCTCCTTGCTGAGACCGGTTGCCACTGTTTTGAGTGCTGCGTTTGACGCTGTTGATGTTTGAGTTGTTTGTGTTCACGGTGCCTGGTAGTGGTGATGACCGTCCACCGGAACCGTTGTCATCGCTCCGAGAACTGTCTCCGCCATCGTCTTCTTGCTCGTTTGAGTCGCTCGGTCCACCTTCACCATGAGCTTCGTCTGTGCCTTCATCATGTTCAGTGTTGTCTTTCAGGTTCAGCTGCTCGAAGTATCCGTCGACGCTTCCGAAGAGGATGAGGCCGTCCTGTACCTCGAAGGCAGTACCTGTCCCAAGATCTACACTTCTCATGGGCTTGATTGCACCGATGATGTCCGCTCCTAGCAGACATTCGAAGCCACCGATGACGTCGTTGGTGCTGTGACTGAAGAACGAGTCGGCCAGACGCACTCCTTGGGCTCTCAGGAACTGCACCAGGGACGTCACGCCAGGGATCTCGTACTCCAGACTCATTTCCGGATCAACCAGGAAGCAGTGGTGGGCCGAAGCGGTTGGAGTGAAGATGATGTCGGACGTAGCCGTTCTGTAGTTCTTTTCCTGTACGCCGATGCACGTTTTGACTTTGTATGTTGTCTTGGGTGCCTCCAGTGGACAACCAAGCTTCACTGCCAACTCTTCGCTGATGTATGACGCTTGTGAGCCCACATCTATCATGCATCGAACCAGCTCACTTCTTTCGCCGTTGTGCATGATGACCGTCATGGACGGGAGGAGGACCGTCTGGCCCTTTTGTAGACTGTTGCAGATCAGACGCATTCCACTTTGCAGTGGCGTGGTCTCTCCAGGTTTGACGACACACACTGCTGATATGTGTTGCTTGCTGCCACACAGCGTGCAGGGATACGAGAGACCTGATGTCTGGCTTTTGCAGTCTGTCAGCTTGTGGGATCCACTGCATTTTGTGCAGAGCTCCAGGTCTTTGAGGCGTTGGATTCGTGTTCGAGGTGATGTGTACGCTGAACACTTCAGCATGGAGTGTGCACCTTCGCACAGCTTGCACGCCTTGAACTTCGATGTGGAATGACTGGGAGTCTTCTTGATCGGCTCGGCACTGGTTTGGAATCGTTGTAGTGACGACTTCGCTGGTTTGGCTGAGCCGGTGACCTCTGTTGTCTTGAGCTGTTTCGGCTTCGACGAGAGGTCCGTGGTGTGTTTTGTTTCTTGCTTTGCAGGTGTCGTCTTCATCAACGACTTGATCACGGCGTTGAAGTTCTCGAGCAGTTGTCTTGTAGAAGGGTAGTCAGTGTGCAGGATTGCGCTCAACTTTACCTTGAAGTTCACTGGGAGTTTTTCGCAGATGATGAAGCTGACAATTTTGCTTCCAAGAGTTCCGTCTTCGAGTGCGTCGTATCCAAACGCCTTGAGTTCATACACAGAGGTGCGAGCAGTATTGAAGAACGCGCGCAGCGCTGGCAGATCTCTTGCAGGTGGTGGGGTTAAGTCGTGGAGTTGCCTGATGTGTTCCTCCACGATGACATCAGTGTCGAGATATTCCTCGGTTAGGAACTTTCTTGCGATGGTGTAGTTTTTCTCTTCAGTTGACAAGTGTTTGATGGTATCTAGCGCGTTCCCACGCAGATAACTCTTCAAGTACATCAGCTTAGCCGATTGATTGTAGGCCGAGTTGTTGCCGATGAGATCGTCGAACATCTTGAGGAAATCGTTGAACGACATCACGTCATCTTGCGTTCCGGAGAACAGCGGCATCTTGAGCTTCTGGATCTCTGGCTGTTTGATGTTCTGCTCGTTGGTTCCGGTTTCCTCCTTGACATTCTTCATGGTCTCATTGTTGAAGCTGAAGAAGGCTTTCTTCGTGGTTGAGAAGATGTCATACATCTCGTCCATCCAGGTATCTTCCTTCTCCATCTCCTGTTCAGATGAGAGCAGCGAAACGTAGTCATTGTGCTTCCGTTCGACATCGGACCACGCTGTCTGCAACTCTCCCCAGCAGTCTTGGACTAGGCTTGGTTCAGCCTTGTCTGTGATGTGCCGTAACAGGCCTCTGTTGATTCTGGAGAACGAACGCTTACTGTTCGCTCGAGCGTTCCGAAGCTTCTCCATGGTTGCAGGGTAGTGATACTAGATGAGGCGACAGCAGGCTGAACGCTGATGACCAGACTGCAGCAGAATCTTGACGTTGATGAAGCGACTGCAGCAGGGTGCTGACACTGAAGACCAGACTGCAGCAGGATCTTGACGTTGATGAAGCAGCTGCAGCAGGTTGCTGACGCTGAAGACCAGACTGCAGCAGGATCTTGACGTTGATGAAGCGACTGCAGCAGGGTGCTGACACTGAAGACCAGACTGCAGCAGGATCTTGACGTTGATGAAGCGACTGCAGCAGGGTGCTGACGCTGAAGACCAGACTGCAGCAGGATCTTGACGTTGATGAAGCGACTGCAGCAGGGTGCTGACACTGAAGACCAGACTGCAGCAGGATCTTGACGTTGATGAAGCGACTGCCGCAGGGTCTTGATGTTGACGAAGCGACTGCAGCAGGGTGCTGACGCTGAAGACCAGACTGCAGCAGGATCTTGAGGTTGATGAAGCGACTGCAGCAGGGTGCTGACACTGAAGAACAGACTGCAGCAGGATCTTGACGTTGATGTAGTGAGCTTCCTCTGTCAGACTAGCTCACAACTTCCCTGAGATCAGCTGGTCAATTCTCGTTGATCCTTACACTTGAGGTTAGACAATTCTATGCAGTTTGATAACAGTTGATATTGAGCTTTTAACAATCTTGCAATCAGTGGCAGATTGAGTAACTTGCACTGTGCAGCTCAGTTTAAATATGGCTGTTTCAGTTTATTTCTATCTGTTTCGTCAAGTTCAACTTTAACCCAGTTTGGGGGCAAAGCACAGTTTTCTGCGTCCAAATCACAGTTTTTCTATGTACGGATTTGTACGAGGGGCACACAGAAAATTATTCTTTGACGTTGGTTTTGACAGGGTAATGATGTAGGGATGAGAATTCGAGGGGAAAGTTGGACCGCCACAGACACAGGCCGGGCTTACCTTGACGTAGGTCTTGTCTCGAAGTCGTCGGTCCTGTGATTTGGTCGGTCTCACTGGTACTTCCCCGCGTAGGTTTGCCGGGACGAACCGCGTAGGTAGATCTCTCGATGTTCTCGTAGGTAGGTATCTCTTGATGAGTATGTTTGTAATAGGTGAATTCAGGCACAAATCAGTCGTGAACACATATGGCTCCAACCGGTAACAGACAGCGACTGCCCTCTCCGTGGCTCAGGCGGGCGGCTGCGAGCGGACGCCAGTCACGTGATTATCGCCCGGGGGCAGGTCAGCTGACCGGTCGCCTGACTCGCCGCCCAGCCCGGCCCAGTGTCCAACGCGTGGCGGGGGGAGGGGAGGAGCCGGTGGGAGAGGGGGAGGTAGAGTGGCTGGTTTTTAGTGTTTTGCAAGGGAATTTCTACAACAATACTTACGATGAGACCAGCAACATTTTATGTAAATCATGTAATTTACACATCAGCTGATGCAGAAACTTCATTTTAATATTATGTACCTTAGTTTAATTTCCTTTTATCAATTTTCATATTCTACTTTTCCAACAATAGTTTATGTAAAAGAAAAAAGTTTACGTTCTAGAATCGAGAAATAAATGTTCTTATGCGTCTTATCAAGTCCATCTAGTGTAACAGCAATCGTTAAAATCAGGGATCAAGAACAATTATACGATAAGGTGATTTATGTAATCTGTGACTTTTCATAGATTTTGTGCAAATTTCGTGATACAATCAATGGTAGGTATGTTCAATCAATTCAATTTGATACAATTCGATACCAAATTCGAAATGCAAGTTGTAAAATGCAACATGCTTATGTTTATTGTTTTCTATTAGTATTATTTCATGTTATTGCCGTCATTAAGCAAAACGATAGGCGTTATCACAAGTGTATTCGCGGCCATTGGGGCGACGTAAGAAAAGAAGAAAACAACTGGCCCCAAGAACTTTTAATTATCAGTTAGCATGCACCTTTTCCTTGATTTGTAGAGAATTTACCATTAATTGTTAGAGAAAATTGCATTTAAAATCTTCCATTTATGCTTTTTTCATCGTTTGCACAGTATGTTCTTTTACTACTAAAATTGCCTGTAGAAATATTAAAGGCAAAAGTTCAACTTTTTCACAAGACGGATGGCTATAAACCTATTCAACGTGTGACAACTCAGCCGGTATTTCGTCGCCTACAGCCCAGCTTTCCCTAGTGACCGATAGAGGCGCTGCTATCGATATCCGCCCGTGCCGCATAACGATACATCAAATACACCTTTATACGGACATATCCTTAGAAAGGTTTTTGCATAGGGTGGTAAACATTAGTCAGAAAATATCGTGCCGTGTGTATAGGCGCTGCACACAATTCCAGCACTGACTTGGTGCGTAAAAGTTGCGGCGCTGTGCAGGACACCGTGCGTATCATCTCAGCGTAGCGCGCGTAATTTACGCAGACGTGCCGTGGGTTTGGCCAGCACGTAC